GGTTGGGAGAAAACCTGAAGAAGCTATTGTTTTGCAATGAATTTTAGAACCAGGAAATTGCTAATGTAAATACTGAATAGAATCTAATTCCATCCTCTAGGCTGCTATGTAAAAGTTTAAGGCCTGAAAAGCACACAGGATATCTACCTTGACGTTTCTTATTCTGGCCAGGTAAGCCCTCATTATGTGGATGGTATGTCAATACCAGACCCACACATCAAGTACAGAAAGCTGGGATGCAGAAGGAAAATAAGCCTGAATTAAGCCACCTCAGTATGCTATATTAATACCATTCTTTCAAATCAGGTAGAGCAAGCCACAAGTGAGAGGAAAATAGCCTGAATTAAGCCCCATCAGTATGGAGACCCTTTCATTACTATCTCTGTATATATGTATTACACGTCTAAAAATGCAGTGGAAAATATGATGCATTTTTCATGGTGCTTCTGAGATTGCTATAGCCAAAGCCCTACCTCAGGCTAAATAAGCAAACATTCTAATTTCCTGTTTTTTTTTTTCATCTCAAATACAGTAGTTATTTCAGAGCGCACTNATGCAAAATTCAAAAATGATGAACATAGGCAGCTCAACCATGGAGTGAGCAGCTTAAATATAGAGAAATGTCTGAAACAGAAAGGCACAAACATGGACATGACCAAATTACTAAGACCTCAGACCTCTTTACACATTGCCTACTTGTATAGGCATCATTCAGTAGATAAAATTTGGATGACATAGTTTGGTAAAGAACATTCACAGTTGCTCGAAAAAAATTTACCAAGAAGATATGGCCATTGGCATTGGTTATGGATGAAACTTTTGATTAATCTTTCTAACAACTGTAGTGACCTGTATAGAACGAGCTGATGAGTTCAGTATTGTGAGCTGGGGTATATCTGAGTATTACAGAATTCTGATCTGTGTAAGACCCTTCAGGGTCATTTATGTCTAACCTTCTTATGATACCAAACAACAGAGCCAAGACCTAGCCACCACTCAAGACTTAAATAAAGACTTGCTGCTGAGCTGGCTTCCAGATGACCCCAAATGGAGATTTGAATTGGGACAGAATATGGTCTGTGTGCAGTTTACTTCCAGTCACATGTAACTGGTATGTGTCAAAAACAGTTCCCTACTGAGTGCAAATAATAATAATCTATCCAAAAGCGATTTTCATTTATTCTACTCATTATGCTTTTGAGATGTTAAAAATATAGATCTGTGCTTTAGATGCTGGTAAGCAGGCTGTGTTTAAAAGAGCTCTGACAGAAATCTATGCAGGAACTTAGAAAAGGCAGTGAAACAAGACAATGGGATAAGTTTACTGTGGGATGCTGGACGGGCTCTCCTTGCCTCAGTATTCTCACTGGTACGGTAATAATAAAGCTACTCCTGCCTACTTTATAAGACTGCTGTGAGGTTTGAAACCTATCAGATGTGAAGGTAGTAAATACACTTTGTAGAGAGCTATACAAAGAGTACAGTCATTGACATCCAAATTAACGCATTTTGCACCACAAAGTAAATCATGGGAAAAACATACATATATGTAAACTATATTGTTTTCTCTATAAAACTTGGCTAAGCAAAAGAAGCCAGACACAAAAGGTCACACACTGTATTACTCCATTTATATGGGGCATCCAGAAAAGGTAAATCAATCGAGACTGAAAGCAGATTGGTGGTGGCCAGGGCCCAAGGGAGGGAGGGATGGGGTTTCTTTTTGGGGTAATGAAAATGTTTGGGATTTAAATCAAGACTGTGGTTGTACAACATTGTCAATATACTAAATGCGTCTGAATTTTTCACTTTGAAATGCTTACTTTGATGTTATGTGAATAAAAAAGTCAAAAGACTTGGATGATGGGTTTGGGAGGTGAGAGAAGGGGTTGGACCAGGAGTGTTTGTCCAGATGATTTTCTAAATGAAATCTCAGACTAATGGGCTCCTTTATAAAAACATGCTTATAGTTTACTTTCAGTTGCTGTTAGTGTTTGACTATCTCCATGAAACAGCCCAGCAAATTCTGTCCACACCACTCCACTGGGTACTTTCCAAGAATAACACGTTCAGTCAACTCTACAGATGCTTACACATCTGTCCTTTGGCCTCTGGGATCCTCTGACCCTGCTAACTAGTTGCTGTGAGAGGTGTTTAAGACAAGAGATTTGGGAAGAGAGGCATGGTTTCATTAGTTCTTGTCAGCCTACTCTTGACAATTTAGCACTGCTGGAAATTACACTTTTGCTTGAAATAGTTTCAGATGCTGACATTTTTTTCCCATAGTTGGCAAATCTTAACTTTTGTGTGTTTAACTTTCCTCAGTGGACCTCTTCTCTGAGCTTCAAAGAGAATTGCTGTTTCATGGTATCAATTTTCTCGCTGTAGGACACTGCCTTCTGATCTTTGCAAGGGCCCTGCTTTTATTAACCTATGGGGTATTTTCAAAGGCTGTCAATTAATATCAAGAGGATTTTTTGCTTTCATTTACAGTATAAATATTAAGAAGTGATTAGTCAAGTTATCAACATGTTTCTATTTGTACATGCATAATGGAGTATTACGTACATGATTTGAGGTGCCAAATTTCAAAGAATGACTTATCTGATATTTCCATGAATCATCTGTTAGACTGGGAAAAAATTCAGCTAAAGAAAACAAACCAGAATCTAGTTTATATTGGCTATCATAAGATCACAGAATCTGAGCACTATAACAGACTTTCCTGTGTATCCTTCCAACCAATTATGTGACATTTGAATGTAACTCACCAAGTGCTTATCAGATTGTCTGCCCTAAGCTCAATGGAGACCATTTGAACATTAGAAATTTCTCCCATAAATTGTCACTTTGCAACTTCTATTACCCAGTTTTGGGTGTATCAACTGAAAACATTCAGGATAAGTCAAATTTACCTTCCACATGATGGATTTTAAATCATAAGAAGCAGCTAAATGTTTCCCCTGCTCTTTTAAGCTAAACACGTGTGTGCTAAATAGTTCTTTTAACTGACTCTTACATGAGAAACTTGAAATTCCATTGTTGTCTTGTCATTAACCTCTGTATAGAGTTATGTTTAGTCATGTCCCTATGAGAACTTGGTACCTAGAACCAGATACCATATATTAGGTATATCTAAAGCATACAGAGGAGAGGCTGTAATTTTGACAATCTTCCTAGACCACAGGCTTTTGGGAGTGAACCAAGTTAACATTAAATGTTTAATAGGCTTGTTTCCCAGTGTTTGAGCATAGAATCTATAATACAGGAAAGAACCATTGGATGGATACATTCAAATCAGCACATTTCAATTTGTCCCATTATGTACCCATTATTACATTATTTACTGGTGGAAAATAGCTAGGTGATTGAAATCACAGGTCTTGAAAAATGTACAAAACAAACAAGTGAACAATCCTAAATGCTCTGTGTTAGGGGAAAATTTGCATAAGCAGTACGAGTGCTGTTTTTAGTTTTATGAGAAGCTGACTTTGCCATTTAGGACACATGTAGCTTTCACCTAACGTGGCTCCCAGACTGTGTACAGATCTCTGCAGCAAGACCTGGGTGTCTGGTAATCACAGTCTATATGTGGATAAAAATGTCATCTGGCAAGAAGTGGAGTTCAGGGAAATAACTAACAGAAAATGATAACTCTTGATGCCATTAAAATAGATTTATGCGGTTCAGGAGGTCGTGGCTAAAGGGGTCCAAAGACTGGAGCAGACTGAGTTTCCTCATCTCTGGAAGGCTGTCCTTTTTTGACGTCTATTCCTGTAAACTTCAGGCAGATTCCAGTCTTTAGAGTGGGTATTGAAATGCCAGACGCCAGTTGCCCTCCACCTGGTGGAATATGTCTGCTGCAGTTTTGTGTCCCCTCTGGGAATTGTTTCTGTCTAGGGGAAAAGATTCTGAGGTAATGCTATCTGGGAAGACTTCATAGAGGCTATCAAGGCAGAGTTTTCACCATATCACTCATTTAATCTTTTTATTTGGTATCCCATTCATTTTCAAAAACTACCTGAGACCTCTAATGTCTGCAAAAATCTTATTTTACACAAGGAAAAAAACCCCACAAAAATTCTGCAAACTCAAATACCCTCTATTCAGTGTTCATTGCATCTCACTCTGAGAGCAGAGTGGTAAACATACATTTAAATCCTTCTTAGAAAAAGTTAGCAATTTTCCAGTGTAGGAGGTAGGTTTGTTTACTGTGATGCTGACCTTCCCAAAGCCCAGAGCATCCAACCTGGTTCAAATGAAGTTCAACTTTTAAAAATAAACAAATAATTCATGATTGACCCCGCATCTGCTTTTATCCATGCTTTTCTCCCCCAACCGTTTCTTCTTTTGTCTTACCCTCTTTCACAGCCAGATCAGGTTTGAAAAAATAAATACTTGCCAACTTGATCTTCTCTGCAGATGAGCTGATAGCTGATCTTGAAATCATAGTGAATTTCTGGAGGCTGTGTCCTAGTCTGTTGATGAGACCTCTTTGCTTCCGAAAAGAGCCAAGGGTAGGTAGGTGTAGTGCGACCCATTGGGGAAGTTAGGGAGTTAAATAGAATGAAAATGTGGAATACGTATGCAAAATTATAGGCAAATCCATTCTCCTCATGTTGGCCCAAACAGGGACTCCATTCCTGTTACTGCTGCATTTTGAATGAGGCCCATGTGACTGTAATAGACCCGGGTATCTGTTTAACATCAACAGAAAACAAACAGAAGTGCTGTCATCTCTTCCAGTTTCAAGCAGATAAAAATAGTTAATCCAGAGATGGCAATCTCATGCAGGCTTTCTTGTGGAGAGAAATCCTGAAGGAGTCTCTTTCTCCAGGAGCAGCTGTGATGAGTCTTTCAAGTAGAAACGCCACCCACCCCACCCACTCAGCCAGGTCTGTTTATTTTGGACATGCTACAGTGAATCCCCCTGGGGATGTGTGCTGCTCATGTTTCATGGTAGAGCAAACACGGCTCCCGTTTGTTTGGTGAGAGTCCTCCTGACCGCTGACTCTTGGATCTGCACAGCCCTTCCAAAGAAAGGGGCTCTGTGGGGTGATTTGTCTGTGTTCATCAGTGTGTGGTGATGCTTGTTTCTGACCAGAAACCCATTCTGTTTGGATAGGAGGGCATCTACTGAGTAAACCGGACCTCAGGCAGGTAAGTCCACAGGCAGGAGGTCCTAGTCTCCAGGACCTGGGAAGGGACAAGCAGAGAGGCCTCCTGAATAGGTGGGCCTTTCTGGGACAGTCCTAGAAACTGCAGTTATTTACACAGCATCCCAGGCTTGTTGCAGGAACGCCTGGAATGTCAGGAAGCTGAGAATTAAATCTTAATCTGTGACACGTTGGGTTATAAGTAAGAAGTGGTTATGACAGCTAAGCCTGTTCTCTCCCAATCTCCACTCCAGCGCTACTGCTTAGCCCTCTGAGTGTGCAGGCTTAAGATTTCTTGTTTTCTGCCCTTCCACAATGGCTTTAATCTCCTGGGAGGCCCAAGTGAGTCACTTGTCTTCCAGGATAAGCCTGCCTACCTGCCTGCAAGGAAAGGCTCTCTGCTGGGTGCTGTATGTCTAAGGCTTAACAGCTCCTGCCCATACCTCCCACCACTTTGTGCTCCAGATCACCTTATGTTCAAGCCTGATTAAAAAATAAGAAACCAAAGGAAATCTTATTTATAATGGATGTTAATACCTGAACACGCTGTCTTATACCTATGGCTTGCAGTATCGAGAGGAAAGGAAATAACAGTAAATAAAACAGCAAGGTTGGGAGAAAACCTGAAGAAGCTATTGTTTTGCAATGAATTTTAGAACCAGGAAATTGCTAATGTAAATACTGAATAGAATCTAATTCCATCCTCTAGGCTGCTATGTAAAAGTTTAAGGCCTGAAAAGCACACAGGATATCTACCTTGACGTTTCTTATTCTGGCCAGGTAAGCCCTCATTATGTGGATGGTATGTCAATACCAGACCCACACATCAAGTACAGAAAGCTGGGATGCAGAAGGAAAATAAGCCTGAATTAAGCCACCTCAGTATGCTATATTAATACCATTCTTTCAAATCAGGTAGAGCAAGCCACAAGTGAGAGGAAAATAGCCTGAATTAAGCCCCATCAGTATGGAGACCCTTTCATTACTATCTCTGTATATATGTATTACACGTCTAAAAATGCAGTGGAAAATATGATGCATTTTTCATGGTGCTTCTGAGATTGCTATAGCCAAAGCCCTACCTCAGGCTAAATAAGCAAACATTCTAATTTCCTGTTTTTTTTTTTCATCTCAAATACAGTAGTTATTTCAGAGCGCACTAAGAAGGGGCAGGTATATTTGCATAATGCCTGCGGCTCTGTTGCCACGCACACCATCTTGGTGTAGACACAAGCGCCAGCTTAGTCTGGCTGCGCAGACATCAAAGCCTGATCATGGAAAAGTGGCCCCGAATTTGGAAGAGGCCTTTTATAGTTTCCAACCATTTCATTATGGCATTAAGGTACATTAATTGCTTCACAGCAATGTGGATATAGGGTTATATTCATTGACTTAAGTTGACAACTTCCTTTTTGCTACAGCTAGTTAGGAATAAGCACTTCAGTTGGGTCTCTAATGATCTCAGCAACACTGTTTCTTCTGATCGCTAAGGAGCTTCCTTTCCTTTCTTCTTTTTAATTCTCAGCTTTCAGTTCCTCTTCGTTATGGTCATAAACAGTTGAACTTAGGCTCTGAAGTGCTATTTTCCCAGTCTTCTCAGAAGCACGATGACTTTATCAGTGATTTTGGACAGAAGGATGAATTGTCACTGAGCTAGGGGAAGCCACAAATGACTTGGATTCCAAGTAAAATTGAAGCATTTCTTTTTTGAACCAATGGAAGGTAACTTTCTTAGTAAATGCATGGATGGTGCCATATCCCAAAAGAAATGAAAACAAAATTACTTGCAAACAAGTTTTCATTTAATGAACACCTATTATAAACCAGAAAGAAACTCTAAAGCTGTATCTGCATTATGACAGGCAGGTGTTTGAAAGCCAATAAATCTGGTTTAAAATCCCTGAGTGCTACACTGAATTGACTACATCAATAACCTGATCAATTGGGTAGAAAGGTGCTGTGAGAGACTTTCTTGATTATGTGGGGTGGATGTACTATTTGATCAAAATGGCAGGTGTGTCTGTGGCCACATAATAACCAAGCCTCCAAATACTGCTGTATCTAAACTATCACCAAACACTAAGAGAAATAAAGGCTACAAACAACCGAGTACTGTGGCCTTACAATTCTTTGTCCTCAATCAGTTCAGACAGAGAGGATGCTCACCAAACTAAGTTTGCAGTAAGGTCAGAGTTGAAAACCATGGCCACCTTAAGACCCTTATTTTTTATTCTTCTTTGCAAATACAACTAAAAATGTCATTAATGTAAAGAGGATGACATCCATTTTATCAAGAGTGTTTCTCAGGTATCTTTGTAAGAGGTTGTTTTTCTAAAAATACACACCTTCTGCCAACTTTCTATGGTATTTACACAGAATCTACTGAGGGTTAAATGTTTTCCAAGAACTTAGAATTTCCTGTTGGAGTTTTAGACAATCCATTCTAATAGCTGTGCTGTGAATGACCTCCCATGTTTGGAACTTAAAGAGCAATAAACATTTACTCCACCAAGAAACACAGGCAAGGACAAAACATGAACTTTGCCATGTTTTACCTTATTATACCAGTTTACCGGAAATTAATTTGGTAGTCACCCAACCACTAGTTGTTCCAGAAAGTATGATCCAACCAACTTCTCAGGACTTAAAACACACACACACACACACACACACACACACATGTAAAATACTATTGTATGCTAATAAAGAAGTACAGATAAATTTAAATTTAAAATTATATACTTTATTTTCTCCCCCTGAATGTTTTATGTTTCAGGTCACTGGTTTCCATAAACTCAACTCCCTATGTCTTAGCAGTATAGAGGACATTTTTAAACATAGCTCTTATGCTGGAGTGCACATTAAATATTTGTTTAGCTGATTAAAACAGTTCTACATTTATTTAGTGTTTGAACAATAAACAGTTTATTGAAAACTGAAATGGCCATTTAGACATACACATACACATACATAGACACACCTCTTGGAAGAAGGGCTTCTGTTAGGAGGTTTCTCAACTTACACTACTGAGTACAAACAGCCCTGGGATCAACCCCATTTTCGAACGCAGTTATCTTCCAGGGAGGGCTGGGCTTCTGGTGGGTTTAGTCCAGGTCTAGGCAGGGGCAGCTGCTCAGTGGGCAGGAGCAGTGACAGTGGGACAGTGAGTAGCTTAAAACCAGAAGAGCTTCATGCAGACAGAAACATTTATCTTAGGGGAAAAAAATACATGGTCTCAGAATATGAAGGACCACTCAGACTTCAATTGTAGCGTTCTCTGCCCTTTACCCTAGTTTGTTAAAACAGAAGATATTTTGACCCCAGATAAACTGGGAAAGCTTGTGATTACTTTGGAAAATGACAAACAAATGGAAGATAAACCTTTTCTCTGCCATCTACAGAGCCCAAGAGAACCGGAGGGGAAGCAGTCATTCTGTTTATGTTAGCTTCTACAATCACCCATTGCCAAGAGATTGTGTATATTACCCTATTAATTCTCACTGTATCTCTGGGTAAGAAGGTTTGTGTATATGCTCAGCATGTTCTGTTATCTAGCATGATGCTGTGTGGTGTGGGTGTACTGGTTAAATAAGAAGTCTAGTTGCTTTTATCATACATAAACTACTAACTTGGAGGGTTAGAATGTAATGTTTTAAAATTACTTAATATTATCAACTATTCTGAGCATAATTTAATCTTCTCTGATGACTCACTGAGTGTTATAATATAATGTAACCCTTCAGATCCTGCATTCTGAACAATATTATTGTAATATTGGTTTGTAAATTTGCAATTACATGAGACTCTCCTTTTAGAAGTAGACACATATGTGTTTCAGGATAATCATTGATTTATTATGTAATAGTACATTAAAAAAACTGTAATTGAACTAGAAACCATTAAGGGTAGATGGTTAAGGTGTGAGGCAAAACTAAAGGGGAATATTATGTAGTGCTTAAAAGAAATGAGGTGGATCAGTGTGTACCGACATAAAGACATGTCTAAGACACATTTTTAATTTAAAAAAAAAGCAAGTTGTAAGACACTGTGTCTGGTAAATACCACTTTTGCTAAAATGAAGACCCACATCCATATGCTGATATGCTCAAAGGGCCATAGGTCATTTCTGGAAAGATAAACAAGAAACTGTTAACAATGTTAGTGTATCCATGAGTGAACATGTGGCAGGATGGGACTTTTAACTTCTTTGCTTTATGCTATCTGAGTTGTTGGACTTGTAATTTACATCTTATAAAATATGTAAAATATAACTCATAAAATTATAAAAATATATAACTACATCTATATTTTTATAAATAAAGCAACTAGTTCAAAAATAATGTTTATTAATAAGAATTCACTTTGCATACTGAAGTAAAGGCTTCTTTTTAAAAATAAATTAAGTTTCAAGAAGACCATTTGTACATGAGTTCAAAGTGACATTAAACAGGTGACCAGTATGTGACCAGTATGTACATATAGATTGTCAGGGCAGATAGCCTGTAGGAAATTTAAATACCAATTTTTGTTTCCCTGGAAAGCTCTTAAAATTTTCATACAAGGATGTTTATAGTTTGGCTTCCTTCTTTTAGAAATGAATCTAAGTAACCTTCTATGGAGCAGCCTGATGCAGTGGGAATAATAACTAGAAACACTTTAATTTTTCCAACCACTGCTTAGCCATGTCCTATCCAAATGTCCTTTAACATTCCTCAACAACATTTTGGGAATATTGGTGACTTTCCAGACCCTTTCATCTAAGTCCAGCTTCCAATTCTCTCATTTAATCTTACTCATTTTCTTCTTATTTCCTCCCCTATACTTAATGCTGCCTCTAGCATTAAACATACCTTAATCTTAATTTGGTCCTACCCTTCCCTTGTTAAGACCTGATTCCTGTAATGATGAAATATAGGAAGGACACCAAGGGAGAAAGCGTAACCATCTACTGACTTAACCATCCATGGCTGTGGTCCTTTCCCTGTGGTCCGTGACTGCTTCTCTTGCCATCACTGGCTGGCTGTGGAAGGCCCCAGGGTGCCGTCGCCCAAAGACACAGGGCAGTTTGCTGCTGGGGCAGGGCATCCAACTCCAGTTGCATCTCTCTTTTCCTCCAGCTTCTACCCACCCACATGCTGCTGTCATTGACAGTACAGCCCACAGCTGCTTGCTTCTTGTGTTCCCCTGCCTGGCTGCAGACTTCGTGCCTAGCAAGAAGGGCTCAGTCCGGGTACCTGGCTCAGTGCCCACTAAACCCAGAAGAAACCCGGTCTCCTTTCCAAGCCCAATAGTGGGGTGAGTCTGCTCCCCTAGGTCCTCTTCATCCTGTCACCCCTCAATTCACTTTTCTCTGCCCTTTAGTTCATAGAAATAACTTGCAGTCACCCCTGTTAGTTACAAGTACTTCTCTTGGAGGGCCCCGCATGTGCTTTTAAGGAACTAAAAAAAAAAAAATTCTTAATAATGTTTGTATTTAATGTATTTAAGGCTATTGCCACCATTCAGATTATCAGAACTTTCTCTCTGTCTGCTCCCCAGCCCTCTGTTTATCTTGCACATAGGAGAATAGGAGCCAAGGTGAAGGACAGGGTTGTAGCACCCAGTAGTTTAAAGCTGACTCCTAGTAAGCCCTGGTAAGTGACTGGCCCCAGGTGTTGGTGGCTCTCTTTATAATGTGGATTTGTTAGTTTTCTTGTTTGTCTTCAGCTTTAGGCTCTATATGTCAACTCCAGGCTAATTGAAAAGTGACATTCAACATGGTTTTAGATACATCTATACCA